CTGATTTTTTAAGGGATTTTTAACACTTTTTCAATGATTTCATACGAGGTGCAGTCGGTTAGGCGACCCTATTAGGCCGCGCCACCGCAAAGTCCACCAAAATTCGTCCAAAAACAAGTCTTTTTCTCGCAAGACCGCAAAATACCGCAAAAACCGACTACGGGATCTTGTAAACAAGGTTTCGAACTTCAAGAATCAATTGTCGGTTTCTTAGATTTTTCATGATTTCGTTACTTACGGCCTTTTAAAGTTGGCCCAAATCGCAATCGGGGGAGGGTTTTACTTTTCACTTTTTTTGGGCGGTGGGGGGTAAATAATTGATGGCCTGCACCTGGATATGTTTCGTTGTGTTTAGAACAACACGTCAGCAAACGTGTGGGCGGCTGAAGCTATGAACAACGATAAAAATAACAATATAAGATAGTGAGGTTAGAGCCGTCCATGCGGGCACCGCAAAATAGCTGATTTCAAAATGATATTTCAAGGTGAAGATTTGCAGCTAAAAATACAAACTAATGCGTTTTAAAATCCTTGAACATTGCGCTACAAGGTCCACTAGTCGTTTTAGCCCAAATCGTTAAAAAATTATCGTACTTTTGTCCGCTTTTTTTAGCCCGCCCTTCTGCTTTTAAAAAAGCATTAAAGCGGGCTTATGCAACCGCTCTCGTGTCTGTCCGTCCGTCGTCCGTGTAAGAGGAAGGAGATGAGCTAGAGGTCTGAAAATTTCAGGGTATCTTAGGGGTCACTCCTGGACAACGAAACGCCTGGTGCAAATCCTGGCAACAACCCCTAAGGGGGTGAAAGGGGGTAACAAAGAAAGAGGGGTTGGTCCGAAAAGTGGAAAAAAAAAATTTTTTTTATGGTCCCCTAAGGGGTAACTCGTGAAAGTAGAGCCCTCTGGGCGAAAATTTTGTCCGTTTGACTCTATCTTGAACCGTTTGGGCGCTAGAGTGCTTTTTTCGACGAAAATACGGCGAAAATGACCACGTTGCACATAAAGACGTACAAGGAGGCGTCCAATCGTAAAATGTCAGAGGAAGTACCCCCCCAAAACAATACATTCTAAATCAGGAACTACCCTCGCATTAGCCGTATCTTTTACTGTTTCGGCCCTAGAGGTGGATATATTAAAAACAATGGCAAAAAGTCAAGTTATAAGACTCTTTGACAAACAATATACAAGCTAAAAACTGCGCGGGTTCATTTTTTTTTCTAAGCAA